ATTTGTTTTTTTGTTTTTTGTTTTTTTTAATCTTTTTGGGTCCCCTCTCTTTTCTTTTTAATTTTATTTATTAATGTGATGTATCATATTGATTGGTTTGTGAATATTGGACCACCCCTGCAGCCCAGGAATTAATCCTACTTGATCATGGTGAATAATTCTTTTAATGGACTGTTGAATTCTAGTCTAGTATCTTGTATCTGTTCTAGTATTTTTTGAGAATTTTTGCATCCATGATCATTAGGGATATTGGCCTGTAATTCTCTTTTTTAGTGGGGTTTTTGTCTGGCTTTGGAATCAAGGTAATGCTGGCTTTATAGAATGAGTTTTGAAGTTTTCCTTCCACCTATATTTTTTGGAACAGTTTGAAAAGAATATGTATTAGCTCTTCTTTAAATGCCTGGTAGTATTCCCATGGGAAACCATCTGGCCCAGAACTCTTATTTGTTTTTGTTTTTTTAATTAATTTATTTTCTACAATTTTCTTTTCTTTTCTTTTCTTTTTTTTTAGCAAATAGTTTATTGTCAAGTTGGTTTCCATATAACACCCAGTGTTCAGCCCAACAAGTGCCCTCCTCCACGCCCATCACCCTAACCCTAACCCTAACCCCTTCCCCTCTCCTTCACCCCCAGCAGTCCTCAGTTTGTTCTCAGCATTCAAGAGAACTCTTATTTGTTGGGAGTTTTTTGATTACTAATTCCATTTCTTTGCCAGTTATGGATCCATCCTCACTTTCAATCTGTAGGCATGTTTAGGTCTAAAATGAGTTTCTTGTAGGTAGCATATAGATGGATCTTGTTTTTTTTTTTTTTTTAATCTGTTATAATACCCTATATCGTTTTTTAAAAATCTGTTTATGGCTTTCTCTTTTTTTAATAGTTTATTGTTAAGTTGGCTTCCATATAACACCCAGTGCTCATCCCCACAAGTGCCCTCCTCCATGCCCATCTCCCCCATCCTCTCCCCCCCCCCATCAGCGCTCAGTTTGTCTTGCCATTGGAGCACTTAGTTCATTGACATTCAGAGTAATTGTTGAAAGAGATGAATTTAGTGCCATGTGTAATATGTAGATTAGTGTTTCTGGTGATATTCTCTAGTCCTTTCTAGTCTTGGTTGCTTTGGTATTTTTTTTCTCCATTCAAAGAGTCCCCCTTAAAATTTCTTGCAGTGTGGTTTAGTGGTCACGATCTCCTTTAGATTTTGTCTGAGAAACTCTTCATCTCTCCTTCTATTCTGAATGATAGCCTTGCTGGATAAATAATTATTGGCTGCATATTTTCCCCATTCAACACATTCAATAGTTCCTGCCACTCCTTTCTGGCCTTCCAGGTTTCCACACAGAAAAATTTAACCATAGTGTTGACATATTATTAATTGATACTCTAATATCTATTCCAAATTACTTTCTTCTTTGCACATATGCATTTATAAAGCCTGGAAAAACTAAATATTCATTCTCAAATCTCTCTTGCAGATAGATGTGCCCATGTTCTAATCAATAATAAAACAATATCAGGTTTCCTGGCGGTTTCTTGGAAAACTCTTAAATAAGGCCTGACAAAGGGGATGGGAACGCCAGGGTGAGAACCTCCAAAGTCTGCTGCTCCATAAAAGCAATGAAGAACAAGGAAAACTGTCAAAATCAAGAATAAACAGAATGTCAGAGACCTGTGGGACATCATCAAGATATCTATAGATGCATAATGGACATTCCAGAAGGAGAGGAAAAATAAGGGAACAAGAAAACTATTGGAAGAAAAGGTGGCTGAAAACTCCCAAATTCATGAAAAATATTCATCCACATATTCAAGAAGCTTAACAAGCTCCAAGTTAAATAAACTGAAGGAGGACCACGCACAGATACTTATATTCAAACTGTTAGAAGACAAAGACAAAGGGGAATCCTTGAAACACCAAGAGAAAAGGGAGTTCCTATATATAAATGGTCTTCAATAAAAATAACAGTTGACTTATTGTCAGATATCATAAAGACCAGAAGGCAGTGAGATGATATATTCAAAGTGCAGAAAGAAAAATACTGTCAGTTAAGAGTTCTATATACAGAAAAGCAATTCTTCAAAAAAGGATAGATTGAGACATTCTCAGATACACAAAAATTGAGACAATTCATCACTAGCGGGGGCCTGTCTTACAAGAAATACTAAAGGGTATCCTTCAGGATAAAATGAAAGGACACTAGACAGTAACTCAAATCCATGTGACAAAATAGAGAGCAACAGTAAGAGTAACCACATAGATGAAAAGAAAGGCAGCATAAATGTATTTTCATTTGTAACTCTTATTCTACCTGATTTAAAAGACAACTGTGTAAATCAGTAAGTATAAAATGGTGTTAAGCTATAATGTATAAAAATGTCATTTGTAATAATGACAAAAATAAAAATAAGAGGAGGAGAGGAAAAAGCTAGATTGGGGCGAATTTGTATACTATTGAAATTGTAGGTGTTAAATACAAACTAGATTGTTTTAAGTTAAGATGTTCATTGTAATACCCACAACAACCAATAAGAAAATAACCCATAACATAGTATAATATTACACTTAGTATAATTATAAAATAATATATTCCATTATGTAAATATATTATATTATAATTTAATATAATTTATATGAACATATAAGTAAAAATGAAATTAAAATATTACCAAAAATATCAACTTAACACACACACAGAAATTAATAGAGGAAGAGAGAACCAAAAAAGACATAAGACACCCAGAAAACTAATAGCAAAATAACAGATGTAAATCCTACCATATCAGTAATGATATTAAATATAAGTGAACTACACACTCCAATCAAAGGCAGAGATTGGCATATGGCCTTCTTAAAATGGTCATCTTACATTTATCTATAAGACACATTCTTTTATTTTATCTTTTTTTTGAAATTTAATTTTTTTGAAGTCTGTTTATTTTGAGTGTGTGTGTGTGTGGGTGTGTGTGTGGGTGTGAACAGGGAAAGGGAAGAGAGAGGGAGAGAGAGAATCCTAAGCAGGCTCTGTACTGTCAGCACAGAGCCTGATGCAGGGCTCAAATTCACAAACCATGAGATCATGAACTGAGTCAAAAACAAGAGTTGGATGTTTTAACAACCGAGCCACCCAGGCACCCCTATAAGACACATACTTTAGATTCAAAAAACCAAAAAGTTTGGGGTGCCTGGGTGGCTTAGTCAGTTAAGCGTCCGACTTTCGCTTAGGTCATGATCTCGCGGTTCGTGGGTTCGGGCCCCGCGTCGGGCTCTGTGCTGACTGCCAGCTCAGAGCCTGGAGCTTGTTTCAGTCTGTGTCTCCCTCTCTCTCTGACCCTCCCCTGTTTACGCTGTCTCTCTCTCTCCTAGAAATAAATAAAAACCTTAAAAAAAAAAAAACCCAAAAAGTTTGAAAGAAAAAGATGCCATGCAAACAGTAACCAAGAAGGGTTGGAGTTGGCTATAGTAATATCAGACAAAATCGACCGTACAACAATAATTATTGGTAGACACAAAAAACATTTTGTTATGACAAAATAATCCATCAGAAAGACCTAACAATTATTAATATGTGGGTATCTATCAACAGAGCCTCAAAATTTAGATTAATTAAAAACTCAGAGAATTGGAGGGAAAAAGAAGGAATCAAACAATACTAGGTGGGAGGTTTAGTGTAAAGAACAGCGAGGCAGAATATCAACAAGGAAATAAAAGACTTAAACAACATTAAAACCTATTAGGTCTATCAGTCGTCTGTATAAGAGTTCACCCAACAGCAGCAGGGTACACGTTCTTCTCAAGTGCACATGGATAACTCTCAAGGCTGGACCATATGTTAGGTTGTGACATATGGTCTCAGAAAATGTAAAAGGATTGCGTCGGTTGCCTATTAGTTTTATGGATTGTTTCCTTTGCTGTGCAGAAGGAAAGAGGCTAAGTGTCCATCAATGGACGAATGGATCAGGAAAATGTGGTTTATCTATACCATGGAATACTACATGGCAATGAGAAACAATGAAATCTGGCCTGTGTAGCAACATGGATGGACCTTGAGGGTGTTATGCTGAGCGAAATAAGTCAGGCAGAGAAGGACAGATACCATATGTTTGCACGTGTAGGAGGATTAGGAGGAACTTAACGGAGGACTGTGGGGAAGAAGAAGGGGAAAAATAGTGGGGGAGAGGGAGGGAGGCAAACCATGAGAGACTCTTGAATGCTGAGAACAAACTGAGGGCTGATGGGATGTGGGGAAGGGGAAGGGGGGTGATGGGCATGGAGGAGGGCACTTGTGGGGATGAGCACTGGGTGTTATATGGAAACCAACTTGACAATAAACTATAAAAAAATTTTTTTTAAAAAGAAAATGTAAAAGGATTGAAATCACAAAGTATGTTCTCTGACCATAATAGAATAAAACTAAATTTTGGTAAGTCAAAAGTATGTGGAAATTAAACAATATACTTCTTTTTAAAAATGTTATTTATTTTGAGAGAGAGAGAGAGAGAGCTCAGTGTGGAGCCCAACATGGGGATTGATCTCATGACTGTGACAGCATGATCTGAGTCAAAGTCAAGAAGAGTCCAGCGTTCAACTGACTGAGCCAGCCAGGCGCTCCTAAAGAATACACTTAGAAATAACCAGTGAATCAAAGAAGAAATCACAAAGCAAATTCCAAAATACTTTCTAGTAAATGAGAATGAAAGCGCATGAGATACAGCTAACACACTGCTTAGAGGAAAACTTGTACCTGAAAATGCCTATACCTGTATCTACCTGTAAGTGCCTATATCAGAAGAGAATAAAGATCTCAAATCAACAATCCAAACTTCCACGTTAATAAGATAGAAAAAAAAAAAACCCAGCAAATTAAACCCAAAGTAAGCAGAAGGAAAAATATAATAAAGAATAGAGGAAAAATCCATAAAATAGAGAAAGAAAAACAAGAGAGAAAAAATTTAAATCAAAAGTTGATACTTTGAAAACAGTTTTAAAAATTGATATAATAGTGCTCATTTTGGTAGCATATGTTACTAAAATTGGAATGACACAGACAAGATTAGCAAGGCCCCTGAAGAGGGTGATATCCAAATTTGTGAAGTGTTTCATATTTTAAAAAATTGATATAGGTAGAATGACCAGAGAAAAGAAGATATGATTCGAATTATTAAAATTAGGGATGAAAGCAGAAATATCACTAATGACCTTACAGAAATAAAACTGATTATATGGGGATACTATAACAATTGTACGCCAACAAATTAGACAAACTACAAGAAATGAGCAAATTCCTGGACAAACTACCAAAACAGACTTAAGAGGAAATAGAAAATCTGAATGTACCTCTATAACAAGTAAAGAGATTAAATTAGTAATAAAAAAAATAAACTCCAAAAAATAAAATCCCAGAGTCATCCCTGGAGACCTGTGGGAAGATAGCGGAGAAGAAGGGAGCTCTGTGCATTTCGCTTACACCCATCTATCAAACAGAGAAGGTCTGAAGTCATAGGACACCGAGCCACAGGAGTTTGGGAAGAGAAAGGAACAGAATACACCGGGAAGGAAACCTCATAAGTGTGGCTACCTCAAGAAACAAGCCAAAGTACATATGGTGGAGAACCCAAAATACCACTACGAGTAGGGGAACAAAATAACCAAAGTCTCAACAAGAGAAACCAAGAGACCATTCAAAGAACACTTCCTGAACGGACAGGCTCTGGACAGTCAAAGAGCTCTCTCTCCCTCTTTTTTAAATGTTTTTATTTATTTCTGAGAGAGAGAGAGAGAGAGAGAGAGAGAGAGAGAGAGACAGCGTGAGCAGGTGAGGGTCAGAGAGGGGGAGACACAGAATCAGAAGCAGTCTCCAGGCTCTGAGCTGTCAGCACAGAGCCCGACACGGGGCTCGAACCCACGAACCGTGAGATCATGACCTAAGCTGAAGCCAGACGCTTTAACCGACTGAGCCACCCAGGTGCCCCTCAAAGAGCCCTCCTTAATACAGCAGAACCTGCAGGGGCAGAGTGCACAACAAGCTTTTAAAATTAACAAGAGATAGAAAGCTAACCAAAATGACGAAATGGAAGAACTCTCCTCCAAAGAAATTCCAGGAAGAAATGACCGCTAAAGAACTGCTCAAAACAGATATAAGCAACACAACTGAACAAGAATTTAGAACAATAGTCATAAAATTAATCGCTGGGCTTGAGAAAAGCATGGAAGACATCAGAGAAACCAGTGCTACAAAGACTATGGAGCTTAAAAATAGTTGTGATGAATTAAAAATGCTATAAATGAGATACATAATAAAATGGAGGCGTCGAATGCACGGATTGAAGAGGCAGAAAGGAGAATAAGTGATTTAGAAGACACAATTAGAGAGAAAGAGGAAGCTGAGAGAAAGAGAGATAAACTGATCCAGGAACACGAAAGTAGAGTTTGAGGGCTCAGGGATACAATCAAACAGAACAATAACCGTATCATAGGAATTCCAGAAGAGGAAGAGAGAGGGAAAGGTGCTGAAGGAGTCCTTGAATAAATTATAGCAGAAACTTCCCCAAACTGGGGAGGGAAGTAGACGTTGAAATTCAAGAGGCACAGAGAGCTCCCCTCAGACGTAACTTGAATCGATCTTCTGCATGACATATCATAGTGAAACTGGCAAAATATAAGGACAAAGAGGGAATTCTGAAAGCAGCTAGGGATAAATGGGCCCTAACGTACAAAGGGAAACCTATCAGAGTGGTGACAGACCTATCTACTGAAACTTGGCAGGCCAGAAAGGAATGGCAGGAGATCTTCAATGTGATGAACAGAAAAAATATGCAGCCAAGAATCCTCTATCCAGCAAGCCTGTCATTCAGAATGGGAGAGATAAAAGTCTTTCCAAATAAACAAAAATTGAAAGACTTTGTCACCACTAAACCAGCCCTACAAGAAATCCTGAGGGGGACTCTCTGAGGGAAATGTTGCAAGGAACGCAAGACACCAGAGACACCACCACAAGCACGAATACCACAAAAGACACAATGACTCATATATATTTCATATATATATTTCAATAATAACACTGAATGTAAATGGGCTGAATGCTCCAATCAAAAGACATAGGGTAGCAGAATGGATAAAATAACAAAATCCATCTATTTGCTGTCTACAAGAAATTCATTTTAGACTGGAGGACACCTTCAGATTGAAAGTAAGGAATGGAGAAATATATATCATGCTACTGGAAGTGAAAAGAAAGCTGGAGTAGCTATACTTATATCAGACAAAATGGACTTTAAAGTAAAGACAGTAACACGTGATGAAGAAGGGCATTATATAATAACTATAGGGTCTATCCATCAGGAAGAGCTAACAATTATAAATGTCTACGCACTGAATATGGGAGCACCTAAATATATAAAACAATCACAAACAGAAACAATCTTATGGATAAGAATGTGCTAAAAAAAGGGGACTTTAATACTCCACTTACAGCAATGGAAAGATCAACTAGAAAGAAAATCACTAAAGAAACAATGGACTTGAATGACACATTGGACCAGATGGATTGGACAGATATATTTAGAAGTGTATATCCAGAGGCCATGGAATTCACTTTCTTCTCAAGTGCGCATGGCACATTCTCCAAGATAGATCACATACTGGGACATAAAGCAGCCCTCAATAAATATAAAAGAATTGAGATCATACCATGTACACTTTCAGATCACAATGCTATGAAACTCAAAAAATAAAATCCCAGGCACACATGTTTTCAAAGGTGAATTCTAAATGTTTAAAGGAAAATTAAAACCAATACCTCACAAACACTTTCCAACTCATATTATGAGGCCTGTGTTACCCTAATACCAGAGCCAGTCACAGATGTCACAAGAAAACAGTACAGACCCTTTATCTCTTATGAATATACACTCAAAAATCCTCAACAAAATACTAGCTAACCAAATCCAGCAATACATTAAAAAATTATATACTATAACCAAGTAGGGTTTATCCCAAGAATGTAGGTTGGCTTAACATATAAAAATCAATCAATGTAATGCACAATATTAATAAAAGACAAAGCTGATTGATCATCTCAATAGACACAGAAATAGCTTTTGACAAAATTCAACACCTGTTCATACTAAAGCTCTAAACAAAGAATTTATGGGAACTTCCTGAAGCTGATAAAAGGCATCTACAAAAACTCACTACACCCGACAGGGAAAGACTGAATGGTTCTCCTTACGACCAGGAACAAGACAAGAATGTCCCCTTTCACCACATCTAATCACATAGTACTGGAGGGGCAATTAGGTAAGATAAAGAAATGAAAGACATTCCGATTGGGAAGGAATAAGTAAAATTAAGTCTATTCATAGATGACATGATCTTGTATGTCGAATATCCTAAAGAATCTACAAAAAACATTTAGAACTAATAAGTGAGTTCAGCAAGATTGTAGGATACAAGGTCAGCACACAAAATTCAGTTATATTTCTATATGCTACCAATGAACTAACCAAAAGTGAAATAAAGAAAATAATAAAATAATTCCGTTCACAATAGCATCAAACCCAAATACTTAGGAACTAATTTAACAAGAGAGGTATAGCACCTGACACAGAGAACTACAAAACATCACTGAAACAAACTGATGAAGATCTAAATAAATGGAAAGACATTCCATCTTCGTGGATCAGAGACTTCATATTGTTAAGATGGGGTTATGGGCTGAACTATGTACCCCCACCCCAGTTCATGTGTTAAAATTCTAGCCCCCAGAACCTCAGACAGTGATTGTGTTTGGAGATAGAGGTAATTAAGCTAACGTGAGTCCATTAGTGTAGGTTCTAGACCCCCAGGGTGTTTGTGCACAGAGAAAAGGCCATGTGAAGGGACAGTAAGAAGACAGCTGTCTGCAGGCCAAGGAGAAACACCTCAGAAGAAACCAGCCTACAGACATCATGGTCTTGGAGTTGGAGCCTCCAGAACTGTGAGATATAGTTTTATTGCTATGCTGCACAGTCTGTGGTGCTTTGTTACAATGGCCCCAGAAAACTAATACAGATGGCAACTTCCCTCAAATTGATGTACAGATTTATTTCAATTCCTACCAAAATCTCAGTTGTCTTTTTTGCCAAAATTGACAAGCTGAAAATTCATATGGAAACACAAGGCACTTAGAATAGCTAAAAACATCTTTAAAAAGACAAACGAATTTGAAGATTCACTTCATGCCCCAAAACTTGCTGCAAAGCTACAGTAATCAAGACAGTGTGGCACTGGCATAAGGGTAGACATATAGACCAATGGAATAGAATTCAGAGTTCAGAAATAAACCATTACGTCTATGACCAATTAATTTTTGACAAGACAGTTGGCACTCTCAGGGCTCTTTTCATTGCTGAAGTAGTCTTTTCAACAGGTGGTGCTGGGGCAACAGGAGGCCCATATGCAAAAGAATGAAGCTGGACCCCTATTTCATACCATGAGAACACTGATCTCAAAGTAGATCATAGACTTCAAAGAAACCCTGACAGTAAATCTTTGCAACGTTAGATTTGGGGATGGTTTCTTAGATACAGACCAAAGCCACAAATAACAAAAGGGGAAAAATAGATTAATTGGACTTCATCAAAATTTATACCTTCTGTGCTCAGAGGACATTACCAGGAAGTAAAAAGCCCACAGAATGAGAGAGAATATTTGCAAATTGCCTGTCACACAAGGGATTTGTATTCAGGACAAGTTATTCAGGTGCAACTCTTCTGAAGCACATCTTCCATCTGAGCTGTCAACATTCATGGTTTTCCTGCATAATATTTTCCTGTGTGCCATTAGGAGCATTGCAGGCAGTCTTAATTAATTAATTAATTTTAATTCCAGTATACAGTGTAATATTAGTTTCAAGTGTACAATACTCAACACTTCCACACATCACCCCATCTCCAACCCTCTCCCTTCCGGTAACCAGCAGCGTGTTCTCTATACTTTTTTTTTTCTTTTTCTTTTCTTTTTTTACAAATTGTTTATTGTCAAATTAGTTTCCACATAACACTCAGTGCTCATCCCCACAAGTGCCCTCCTCCATGCCCCTCCCCCCCTCCCCCCCACATCCATCAGTC